CAGCTCCCTGGAGCAACATCACTGAACATCTCTGTTGCTCAGTTTTCCCTCCCTGTTCTGGAAACTGTTTCATTGATACCAAGCACTCATGTAGAACTTCCTGATGCCACAACTATTCTGTTTGACTCTATCTTCATCCCAAGTGAGCCAGTAGCATCATTTGCAGTCAGTCGTACAACTTTGCTGGAGTTGCCAGAATTAATGCCATCGGAATCTCTGTTTTTGCTTGACAAAACATCTACAAGGGAAGAACTGTCTTTAAATATTTCAGATTTTCCATCCAATCTTTTATCAACACCATTTCTTATTGAACCTAGCTTGTCTTTATCATCAGCCATGCTAAATTCTTACTCTGTCATGCAAAGCGTTTTATCAACACTCTTACCTCAGAGCTTGTTGACTGGGACATCAGTACTTTCTGAGGATGTTTCCAGCTGGGACTTAGCTAACACTGTCAGCTCTGCCACTGACACCAAGTTTTCTCAGTTTCCGCTCGGCCAACCATCGTACTTTTATTCAAATGCATCCTCTGTTCTAGGTGCACATGTTCCTGAAATAACACCATCATCAGATTTTCACTCCGAGTCGTCTGTGTTTCTGGAAGCACCCTCAGTATCGCCAGTGGGCTCTGAAGTTGCATTTACCTCAGCTGTTACAGGAGCTACCTCCCAGTTGGAGCCTTCCCTCTCCACCTCTCACTCCGTGGTTCCTACCCTGGTGCTGCCTGCTTCCGACACCCAGTCTGTTACCAGTGGCATCTCGCTCAATGAAACAAATCTGATCTCTTTGTTTACTACTGTTCTGGCAACTCCTCTCTTAAATGTTTCTTCATCTCTGCTCACAACTGCTCTGGCTTCTGATGAGGATATCGGTGCTACAGTTAACCCCATGCTGCTTTTAACATCTCGCAGCGAGGGCAGTGCCCACACAGCCCTTTCTCCCACAGACCCTGACAACCTGACGTCACGTGCCGACACCAGCAGCGCGATGCCCTTTACTACAGCATCTCTGTCTGTGACCACGTCATTAGCTCCCACGCAATTTCCTCCGACTTCTAGCCCTCCCACTGGATATGAAGTTCCAGCAGAGAGCAATGTAACTGCTGGTACTGATGCGTCGGCTGCTCCCACCACTGTCCCCACAACTACTGCTGCCAGTGCCACGGGCAGCCATGGCACCGCTGCTGCAGGCGGACTGGGGACGTTCTCCACCCCTCTGGTGACCACTACTCCATCTGAACCTGTGGTCGTAACCTCTGCCGTGACCACTACAAGGCAACCCTACGTCTGCGACATCACGGTTCCCGATGCTTACTTAGTCACTGCAGGTAAGGTGTTCCTAACGTTTTTATTTTGTGTTTCAGAAGCCGCTGTAATGTGACCCCCTAGCTAAATTGCAGGTGTTGAATTAGCTAAGTGAACCTTTCAAAGAAGTGCAGTGTAAATTTAGATAAATGGCTGTAAAAGCATCGATTTATCATTTACTCTTGAAAATAATAGAATTCACTTGAACAGAGTCCATTGTGATAGTGAGTTATATATACATTACACTGCACAGAGAATGAAATTGTCTTCTAAAATTGCTCATGCGTATATACAAGTATGCTGCATTAGAGGCTGCTTTATCATTTCATGGGTTGTAAATGAATGTTGCTGTCATGGTACTGTTCTGCCAAACTATTAAATGTTCTGACTGAGTAAGTTTCTCCTTTCAGTTGTTGCTGCTGTTTGTAAAAAAAACCCTGCATGTGAGGTAATTGTGTGTATATGAAAGAGGAGAGTTGATTTAAAAAATGTTTGGGTTTTGTTGCCATTTCTGTAGTTTTACCGCACTAGCTTATGTTTATGTCTTCCCTCTTGCCATACTTAACTTCAGCTGGATTTGGTGTGTTTGTAACCAGAAAAAGTGACGTTAGTGTGTTTCAAAATTAATTGTCTCAGCGTCTGTGTTTGCTTTTTTGGTGTTTTCCTACCTCTTCCTAATTTGTTAACAAAACAATACCAGTGAACTAATCCAGGGCAGCTGCAGAAGTGCTGCATGTTCTGCGGTATGCAACATGTTTTGCCCTTAAAATTTACGTGTGATATGTAAAGCAGAATAAACACAATCTCATCCTCCATATACAAAGATGAGCCAGCTGTGCTGGTGATGGGGAGATTTTTATTTTTTTTTTAACCTGTACTTTGAGTAGTTTTGTAGGCAAGTTACTGATGGAAAGTAGATGCAGGGTGACAACAACAACACTTCTCGGTTGTTTCTGTGACCATAGTCACAGTCTCTAGTGTGACTGTAACAGACATGACATCCATAGGGATGTGGGGTTTTTAAAGCGGTTTCTTACTCAGTGGATATTCCTTTCAGTAATCAATTTCACATTCATTTACTTTTTTATTTGAGAGAACAGTAGGTGCATATTTTCTGTGGCTTTTTTCTGACCTCATCTGCGTTCCACACATTGCCTACAAAACTTCAGCTGCGTTATGACAGCAGGCTTGTTGTGCACAGGTCAGACTGACTGTGCTGCGACTTTCAGATCCAATTTGAATGCCTCAGTGGCTCTTTAGAGAATTCTTTTACTAGAATGCTAAAGACATTACATATGGAAAAATAAAACGAGATGGAAGATAAACCTGGAGTTCCTTAAATTATATGTGAAATCACTTTTTAGGATACAGTCACACCTTTACCTGTTTCCTTGTCCATTGTCTTATCCATTCGATGCAGTTGATCTCATTGCCTGCTTTTTCATGCATTGCACAATTGAAAATGCAGCTTTGAACCAAAGCCGAAGAGATGAAGCTAAAATGTGTTTACTGACTGACATTAATTTCCAGTGCTGGCCCGAAGAGCTGTTCTACAAAATGTCAGTGAATCCATCAGAGAAGTGCTCAGAGTTCAGTTCAGGCGATCAGTAGAGCTAGAGGTAAGTAGTTTGAAGTGTGTATGAGTACTGTTTGATCAATATAGTACAATAGTGGGTTTAGTTCACAGGCTAAAATGGTGATTTAAAAACAACCCATGTGGTACTATGTCAGAGAGAGATTTATTCTAACTTAAATGTTAGTCATGTTTTTGTTTTGTTTTTAACATGAATATAACATCATCTTTTTTACGTTTAGAATGTCATCATTTTCTAGGACAGACCTTTATTGATTTTTGCCAGAGGTGAGCAAGCAGTGCCCAGTCTCTACTGCTCACCTCCTTTGGCTGGTGAATTGAAACTGAACTGAAAAGCTTTTACCCTTTGAAATACCTCTGAAAAAGGTTTGTTTGTTCTGCTAGCTGATTGCATACTTCACACCTTAAACAAAACAAAACCTTCTGCACAGCTGTGTGCTATTTTATGTTGTGAGGCCATCAACACTTGCAGCGGAAGTGGTGGAATCCAAAACGCAGGATTTGGCAGATGAAAAAGGCAGGGGAAAAAAAATCAGGTGTGCAATGGTAAGGTGTTATTTTAAGCCTTCAAATAAGTGTGACTCCTCTCTTTCCCCTGCTCACAGGGCTAGGAATTGCTGCATTCTTGGGTTTTTTTGAAAGCTTCCTCTGCTTTGACGTTCAAGGAATCATCTTTGAATGATATTTCAGTGTTGTTTCCTAACCTCAAATGAATGCCTGGTTCAGATGAGGTTTAAAGGCTCTGTTCCCCCGCTCTGTCTCAAACCCTCTGTCTGAGAGGAGAAGGCCGTAGAGGTAGTGTAGGGGTACCTTTGCTGTATAATCAGATACTTCAACACTGGGGACAAAATGAAATGTTTTAATGGAATTACTGGTGTAGGTGCAGGTTCAGCTGCACTTGCAATTTTTCATGCTTGCATTCACCCAGTTGTGATGGCCCAGCACCACATTATCTTACTTCGAGTTGGTGATCTCAGTTTCATTATGACATTTACTCAAGTAGCAGTTTGAACGTTGAACATAACTTGAGTTTCTCCATGCACAGAATCCCTTGGTGCCTCTAACTTCTGCTTGCCAGTCTTTGTGGGGAATCAGTGTGTTGACAGCTCCTGCCATAATCACTACAATCAGTAATTAAACAACTCCTGTCTGGTGTTTGAGACTATGCCTCTCTACTACTCAGTCAAGATAAGAGTGTTAACAAATTGCTGCCACTATCAATTATGTTTAGTTTAGGTCCTTTTAGCGATACCTGCCTATAAGCTTTTTAGGGTTTTTTTTTTTTTGTAAATAAGAGATTCTACTTCTCATTTGTGAATTACACCTTCAGATTGTGCAATACTTTCAGATTATGCACTCTGTCATAGTTAAGAAGTCAAAAGTTGATGATGATAAACTACATGAATTTTCAGTGAACCTTATATGCCTCAATAATATGAAAACACTTAATAGTAACAGCAGTAAGACAAAATCTACTGCTAAATATTTGAAGGTTGTTTGGAGCAAACATTTGATATCTTGCTTCTTTATATTTTTACCCTTTAAATTCCTTCCTTTCATGCCCAATATTGTCTTGTAAAGCTCTCAATAGGATATTTTGGCCCTAAGGCTTCTCAGAAGCAACTGTTTTTATAAATAATGCAGTTAACCCGGCTTCATTCTTCGCAAATTCTTTTTTATCAAAAGGAGAAAACATCTCTGTGGAATCAGTTATGCTTATTTTATGCTAGAATGCTGCTGTCATATGTGTTCTTTGTGATGCCTTGGGTATGGATTTTGCACTAAAAATAATCACTAGCAAATGACTTCACCTCTAACAGCGAAACATTTTTTAAAAAGAGCTGTCTATAATATCAGTTTGTTGAGTGGTGATGTAATGCAAAATTTTAAACAGAATTTGCCTATATTGCTAAACTTAATTAATCAGGCAGACCTGACTTTTGTTAGTCGAGAGAACCCAAGAACCATGTGTACGTTTGCAAGTTGTGGTAAAGCAGCGCGCTTCTCTAAGCTGCTTTTTTACTGTGTCTCCTATTACAGCTCACAGATGTTGTTTCCTTGCTGTGATGTAATGCACAGTAAATCAGGAGACAGTCTTGTTAAATTTAACTTTGTAGTAATGTATGCTTTAAAAATAAAATCCATGGCAACGATGGATATAACTGCTGCTCACTTTAAATACAAACCAAGTTTAACACTGAAAGGAAGATTAAAACATTTTTTTTCCCAACTTTTTCAGTTGAAACTTTGGTCTCTGCTCCTTTATTACTGCAAACATTCTGAGTTGTTGAAGTGGGGGGAAAAAAAAGAGGCAGGCTTGAATACTGCCTAATGAAAAAAACTTTTGTCATTTTTTTCCTAGCAAAAGTCATTACTGCAAAGTGAGAATAACCTAAAATTTAAACTTCTTTCTTTCCAGTTGGTCTCAATGTATTGCATCTGCAAAAGAGTAAGACCTTATTGTTTGAATAAGAGTAGTTTTTGTCCGCTTTCTCTAATGTAAACCTTATGACACTTGGGTAAGATCTGTTACATAATGTTCCCTCGAGTTAGCTTTGTTGCGTTGGGGTGTGAAATAAAACAGGGCTGGCAGGGACTCGCTGCCAGGACCCCTGGTGCCATTAAGTTCATGCCAACAGGAAAAAGGTTTTTGCCAGCCTCATTTGTGCTTGGAAGTTTTATCGTGCAGTACAGCATATACCTCAGCCACTTTGTTGATGTATTTAATGTGGGGGTTTGGGCCTGTCCGTAGCGTATTGGTTTCTATAATCCAAAATCAGTAAATCTCTGCCTTCAAAGAGTGATCAGTTCATTGTGAGGAAGTTAAATACTTCTTTCAAAGATGCCCCCTTGTGGGCTTGTGCTGGCCTTGTCACTCCTCACTGCTGCTGCAAGTCTGGCTTGGTACCATTTAGGTGTGTAAAAACGGCGAGAGAATTGTTGCTTCAGGATCCTAACGTGCGTAGAAGCAGAAGCTTTGTTTCATTTTTAAGAACTGTGAGCCTTTGTAGCCCATCTTCAGGAAGTTAAATGCTCTCTGAAGGCTCTTTACAGCATGCTTAAGAAGATGGGGGTGAGGAAGTTGGTTGTTCGTGCTCTCTGCCAGATGTGTACACCGCATAATACAGTGGAGTGTAGGTGTGGATTAGATTGTAGCAAAGGTGCATCTAATCAAATATTTTGGCAGACAATAATCAATAGCAAATGCTTAGGGAATGTCATAAGGGACAGAGTAAGCATACAGTGATGTTTTCCCCAAATACTCTTCTAGCCTCTAGTAAACTGAGGCTTGAAAACTTCCTGTATGAGAAGCACTCTCTCTTGTGAGGGTAGCTTTGAATGAGATAGGTTGTGTCCTGGAGACAGCAGAGCTGGATTAGCCGTTGCCCTTTGGAGAAGGGACAGCTTAACTTGAGGTGGTGTAAGGGTTCTCTGCTCCTACTGAAGGTTTCCGCTTTTGCTGTGGGGATGGCTCCAAAGTGCACATGGAGTTTTGCGTGCTTCTCTGGCTTTCTACCCCAAAGTGTTAAGATAAGAAATTTGTAGTTGTTTAATACAAGGAATTTCTGCTTGTTTACTTTAATAGGTGGTGCTCTAAAATGTGTTGTTTCAGCTAGCTAATGTGTTAGCGTATACCTGTCCTGGCGGTAGAGGTGAAACCTCCAAGAGAGGGTTGGATGGACAGCTGGGTTTGTGAACCATTAGAGCTCTGCCAGGAGGAGCTATTCTCATTTGTGAATCAAGAGTCATGAGCTGTGCTCATCTGCCCTAGATAACGTTGCAGACTTCTCTGTGAATTAGCTTGTAGACAGCATCATGCTGGCATGGCTACATTATTTCTGTCATCTGAATTAGGTTGTAGAGAGCTAACTCTAGACAAGCCTGCCATATCTCAAGCAGAAATAGCTATTGTTTTGAGCTGTAGTGGTTCTAATCTACCTACTTCAAAATTACACTTAAAAGTGTTTGGTTTCTTTAAAATTTCTGTTCTTCTGGAATTGCTGTCACTTTTCTGCTGCAGTGAAGCACAAAAGGGAAACAACATTAGCTGTTAAGACAAAAAAGTCAATGCAAGATTCCAGGAGGGGTGTTTGGGGTAGGCTGCTTTCATTACATCTCTGGTGCACCTCAGCTGGTCAGAGATGGAGACAACTGAGATAGTTATCAACGGCTTGCTTTCTTGTCTGAAATACCTAACTCTGGTGCATTAGTTTATGCTGGATAGACCAGCCCTCTGTTCCTCAGCATGTATTGCTTTAGAAATCACCAGCAAATTGTCACTGAGATTTGTAATTCTAATTCCTCTTTTTCTTGCCTTTTAAGTAGTCTCTTTTGCAAGTATTGGACAACTTTCTTTTGGCATGTCTTACCCATTTTAGCTGCTGTTTCCATTTGACAAACTGAAGCTGCAAAGATCATTTCATCCTGAGATAAAAGGATAAAATTTCAGATAAGAGGAAATGAAAAGAGCTGTGCATATTATTAATATCAAACAAATTTGAATTCTATGGGTCTAAATCTGTTTTAAATAAAAGCTGGATGCTGCATATATTTGTGGACTAAGGAGGAAGAAAGGCATAATAAGCAGCATAGATTTTTTTTTTTTTTTTTTTTTTAATTTCCTTCTGCTACTGAGATAGTTTCTTCTGGGGAAGATGATCTCTTTGAAATGCATGGTTTTTTTATAGGACAGGAGAGAGCTGCTTGCTGTCTCATCTAAACAGCAATTGCCATCACTCTACACTGTTGCAGAAATACTAGTAAGGAACATGTGGGTCACAGTTTAAGTGGCACTGTGCTTTTCTATAAGGGTGATCCTCAAGCTGAGGATATCTGACATCCCTTCACCAGCACAAGGCCTGCAAGGTGCTAGCATCTCTTCATCTAAGAGGTGCGCATTTATCAGAACCTTTGGGTCTCTAGTTTGGATTATTTATTTGTTTGTGAGGCCATCAGGTTGGACATCTCAAAATATTTTAGTGTGACTGCCTTAGGCAAATGAAGCAAATCTGGGAAGTAAACCAAAATGGAAAAAAATAATGCTAGGGAAGCAGGTGTCCTTGATACTGAGTTTCTCTGAAGGAGAGAAGACACTATAATATGTTTAAATAAATAAAAGCCTTCAGTTTGTTCTTACTTAGGTGACAGACAAATGGTGTTTAAGAGTGTCTGCATGGAAACATTCACCTAGGTTTGTATCTTACTTACAATCTCATTTCTTTTACATGATGACTAAGGCTCCTCAGGGTTTTTAAGAAGACTCAAAGTCAGGAGACGAATTGGAAGAGGAAAATTGTAATTGTGTAACTGTGCTGAAGTAAGCAGGTGAAAGTGTTCTCTGGAAGAAAGCGTTCTTGAGTGTGAAAATTATATCCATAAACCACATGCTCCGTGCATATCACATGTGAATGGTATAGGTTGTATTCGCTATGCAGTATATGACTGAAATGAAGAAGGTATGC